ATGTGGACTACTAAAATCCTAAGGAATTTAGTAGTAATCTAGTAGTTGAAAGGTGGTTTGTTTGACACATACATCGGAAATTTTGGGGCTAATTAAGATTATGGTAAAATTATATCATCATTTATATATATAACAGCCCTTAAAATCATACCTAATTAATTACACTACAATTTATAATCATAAAATCAAGTTATCTGTCCTCTTCTCATGCGTCCACGTCAGCAAGGAGAGATGGGGATTTTATAACACATGGCACTTTTGGTGGGATGGGCTTGTTGTTCTCACGTGTTGTTCAGACCTTTTGAAGTTTAGGGCTTCCATCATCATCTTGGCGTCGACAAGCAAGTTCAGCAACCTCACGACTGTCTCCGATCATCGCAAAGTAACGGCTCCAGTTTACATTAAGAGGTTCTTTAATCACGCCTTTAACTTGATTACCTCACTCCTCCCACTCTAAAGAATTCCGCCGAGCTCTTCATCTCCCAAGGTAACCCATGGGAATTCCGATTATAAATCTACAATCTCTCAGCTATTGCCATTGAAGATGTGAGTAGAGATGTGAAGATATTGAGAGATTTTGCCGTTCTTAAGCTATTGTTATGTTTTGGTACTCAGATTTTGACTTTTTATATTAAAAAAAATTGGATGATCTTTATAATAATAAAATCAAGTTATCTACTCTTCTCCTGCGTCCACGTCAGCAAGGAGAGGTGAGAATTTTATACCACGTGGCACTTTTGTTGGGATGGGACTGTTGTTCTCACATGTTGTTCAGGCCTTTGAAGTTTAGGGCTTCCATCATCGTCTAGGGTCGACAATCAAGTTCAGCGACCTCACGACTGCCTCCGATCATTATAAAGTAATGGCTCCAGTTCACATTAAGAGGTTCTTTACTCATGCATTTAACTTGATTACCTCACTCCTCCACCCTAAAGCATTCCACCGAGCTCTTCATCTCCCAAGGTAACCCACAAGAATTCTGATTATAAATCTACAATCTCCCAGCTATTGCCATTGAAGATGTGAGTAGAGATGTGAAGATATTGAGAGATCTTGCCGTTCTTAAGCTATTGTTATGTTTTTGCACTCAGATTTTGGCTTTTTATATATAAAAAAAAGAAATTTGGATGATCTTTATAATAATAAAATCAAGTTATCCGCCCTCACCTGCGTCCAGGTCAGCACGGAGAGGTGGGGATTTTATAACACGTGGCACTTTTGGGGGTGGGGGGATGGGTCTGTTGTTCTCACGTGTTGTTCAGGTCCTTTGAAGTTTAGGGCTTCCATCATCATCTTGGTGTCGACAAGCAAGTTCAGCGACCTCGCGACTGCCTCCGATCATCACAAAGTAACGTCTCCAATTTACATTAAGAGGTTCTTTAATCATGCCTTTAACTTGATTACCTCACTCCTCCCACTCTAAAGCCTTCCACCGAGCTCTTCATCTCCCAAGGTAACCCACGGGAATTCCATTTATAAATCTACAATCTCCCAGCTATTGTCATTGATGATGTGAGTAGAGATGTGAAGATATTAAGAGATCTTACCGTTCTTAAGCTATTGTTATGTTTTGGTACTCAGATTTTGGTTTTTTATATAAAAAGTAAAAAAAAGATTTGGATGTTTTTCTTTGTTTCGCAGTTCTGAGATAATGTAAATGTTTTATTTTTGGATGTGTTGTTGCTCTGTTTCCACCCAAGGCGAAAGAAGAGCTGTAGCAACAATGATACATCACCTGACCCTGGAGATCCTGAGAAGAAGAAGCTCTGCGAACCGAAAATGTGGGGGAAGCCATGGTTGAACTTCAAGGAGTTGCACAATTCAAGCTCGATGGTGATGATTCCCCTACCATTACTCCCTCTGATCTTGGATGCAAAAGGTATGACTACAGAAACATACGTTACATATATGTATGCAACACAATGATCAATCTTAAGAAAGACTTTGATCATGAAAATTTGGTTTTCTGGATCAGAATCATCAGATGACAATGCATCTGGATTGATGAAAGTTTCAGGAGACGGTCTATAAGACACTTCTAAGTTGAAGTCAATAGATTTTGGCTTCTCAGGTTACAATGATCGTCTAACATCAACTCTCCAAATACGTTTAGAAATTAATATGAATATTCTATACATGCAACGTTAGTCCGTGGGTTCCATCCATCAATGCGAAAAGCCTGAACACTTTCCGAGACCTGTTTAAAGTTATTTTGTTAATATAATATCATTTTAAATAATTAGTACACATATTTTTTAAAGCAATATTTTATTTGTATCGTGTCAGTAAATGTTTTTACAAAAAAAAAATACGAGGAATCAATTCCTCTTTTCATATTATTTAAACATAACTAGGTGTTTTGCCCGCCATGCGGACTTAAGCCTTTTATAATTATTTATTAGTAAATATAATAATAATAAAAAATTAGAAGCATAAATTATTATTTGTGTTTTCATTTTAAATTTTTTTATTTATCTTAAAAATTATTCAATATTATCTTTTCAATTATATAAAATTAAGAATTTTTTAATTAATTAATATGTAATTATTTGTTTTCTGCTTTTGAATTTTTAAATATTTTATCGAAATATAGTTTTAGGATAACAATACAATATATATTAGGAATTATCTTTTAAAAATAAAATATATTTTTGGATTTTGGATAACTATTATTGTTATTATTTAAAATAACTTATCTAATTAAATAAATTTAAATTCGTTTTTATATTTAATTAATTTATATAATTTATTTATTAAGAGTATAAAAGATATTAACCGCTCTAACTTTTAACATGGGAGCTCCGTTGCGAAAAATCACTTCGCAAATAATAGTATAGATAATAATCAACAAAAAGTTAAAAACATGTTAGATAAGTATTATAAATGAAATATAATGAAAAATATGATTTAAAATTATAAAATTATGAAAATTACATAAAATCATGGAGGACATGATACCTCAGCAAAATTACTTACTATTATTTAAAAAGTAAAAATTATGAAAATTACCTAAAATCATGGAGGACATGACACCTCAACAAAATTACTTGTTAAATAATAGTATAGATATGTTTAAAGTACAATATTTAAAAATAATAATATCAATAAAGCCAAAAATATAAAACAGAGATTATAATTTGTTATTTATGTGTTGAATTTCAACTGTAATTTATTAATTTAACTTTATTCACTATATAATGAAAGTATAAAAAATATTGAAAAATTAAAAACGACTAGTGGTGATAAAAACCTATGCTTTTAACAAAATCAACATATACAAATAGTTGAAATTATCATCATCTATTTAATATTAGCATATTAAAATTAATAGAATATTTTGTTAAGTTTCATTTATTCACTTTATACGTAGGGTTTATGGTTTAGGGTCTTTGGTATAGAGAAACTCTTGCTATGGCTTTTACTCTTTTAAGGTTGCAAAATGATTGATTCGTATCTTCTTATCTTCACTTATAGTACACTTCCATTTTATTGTTACTCTTAAATCATGGTAGTGTCCCGTTGATATTTACAATCAACTTTGGAAAAAGCCAAAACGTAATCTTAAGCCCCTTTTTATATACATATATAAGAATCAGACTTTTGTGAAGCAACATTCAGTAAAGTTCACCAAGGAAGTGCAAGTGCTACGGAAATGGTGAGTTGAAGTCGGAAGAAATTGAGTACGAGAGTTTATAGGAACTTTACCTAATATCTTATTTGCTAGGTTTATGGATTTTTTTAAAAACATGGACCATTATGATCGATCATCTTTTCTCCTAAAAGTAATGAAGGAGAGATAAAAGATCCTCGACAGAAAAAAAAACTTTGATACACACGTTAATATGCTTATGTACAAATAATAATTATGTAACACAAATGTACAAAAAAAAAAAAAAAAGAAGTACAATTACCAGTGGCCAGTGCCGGCTAAGTGGGGGGACAATCGATGCAACCGCCCCGGGTCCTAACCCGTGTCCCCCATATATCAATGATTAAAGAGTCCAAATTTTTTATAAATACATATTTTTATATAGAAAAAATTAAAATTTTAATAACTAATTTTGAAAAGGGGCCTAATAATATTTCATAAATATATAGTTTTATTTTCATCACAAAATCTTACTGATTAAATTGTAAAAAACAAAAAAAAATTAAATATTAAATAAACATAAATTTTAAAAGGTAAAAATTCTTTTTTTTCCCCTAGGGACCTGACAAAATTAAGCCGGTCCTGCCAGTGGCCAAACCATCTTGCATCCGACACTCACGATAACTAATTGATCACATCACAAGCATTACACAAACCTAAAATATGAAACATGAAAACATTAACATAAAACTAGAAATAAAGCCGCAGGATACGATCAATAGCGCAGACACACCACTAGTTTCATCTAAACTTCTGTTTGCATATAGCAGTTCTTGTCTTCTGTCAATTAATCGGTCATTTCCTATTATAATTCTGATTCAACTGAAGAATCTGATGCTTTCAGTAGATCTTATTCAAATGAAATCTAAAAAAAATCCAAGTTTGATAAAAGAAACTGTCTGTTAAACAAAAAAGGAGATAAAAGAAACTGTCCCATGTTCAGAATCAAGACACACGAGGTTAAAGATACAAAGGTACTGATGATACTGAATCAGGCTCATTTGGAAATTCGGAACAGCATAAAAAATGTCACCACAGAACCAATTGTACCACTGTGGTTGTGCGTACATAGTAAACATTCATTTTTATTGGAATACAAAAATCCATGTTTGGGTCTTCATGTCCTCCTCCCAGAGATCTTTATTTTACAAGTCCCAAAACCTTTTGTTGATTTTTTTGGCAAATATTTGTTGCTTCAACAAAACTTGCTGCTTACGGTGTCGTAGCTTGGAACAGACAGGACTGCCAAATAACAGGGACAGATACAGTATTAAGGAGACAAGATTATATACGAAATGTATTTTTAGGAAAAGAGACATGTTTTATTACCATCTCCGAAGGAACCCATTGTCTAAGGCTTTGAAATTATCTTGCTGGTGAATTCTGTAATGTCTTTCAATGTAAGTTCGTCTACTGCCTTCAAGAACTGTTCAACTGGTTTCCTGCAATAATTTTTAATATCATGAGCAAGAAGGTAGAAACTATTGAGATTAACTTGAAACTTTTAAGTCCTTTTCAGTGTACCTCTCTCCGTATGTAAGTATCTGCCTGCCAATGTCTTCTGCTGCAATCATCTGCATAAGACACAACATTAACTCGTCAGTGTAATAACATATAATCTTTAGAAATCAAATAAACAAAATGATTTTCCAGGCAACAAACATCTTTAGTGAGAGAGTGAGGTACCCGAGATTCCAAATTCATCAGAACAGCAGATTTCGTGGCTGCCTTGGCGCGATCAAGATGCTTCTGGTTAACTGTCCAATCATATAAACAAAAGGTTTCTATACATGTAAAGAATTGTTTCGACTTTGAAAGTAAAAAAGGATAAAACAAACTGCAAACCTTTTCCTCCTGCTACATCTTTCAGTTCTTTAGCTGCTAATTCAATTGCTTTTGCAGCAAACTCAGGACTCTGCAATTATGGTTGTAAATCATATCACTTTATTTACCAGAATACATTTCAAGTAAAGACGTTGTCAGCTAACACAAACTGGACAAAGCTTAATAACCCAGAGAAGGAAAAGCATACTAATAAAGAACATCAGGATCTTGCTGAACTCACCGAGCAACCATAGATTCCAAACAGTCCAGTGTTGTCAAAGATGCTAGTGAATGCGGTGCATGACTGAACTTGCTGATATTCGTTCAGAATACGGAGATCTGTAACCAGACATAGAAACTTGTATCACTATTGCTAATTCCTAAGCAGTGCTTGAGAATGTTTCATGAGATAGTTCAATAAGCGCAAGAAAAAAAAACACAAAATTTGGACTTACAGAGCCATGAGTGCATTCCTTTTCCAGGGCCTCCAGCTGAGAATGAGCCACCTCCTCCCATAAGCATCTAATAACAATTAGATTATATTGACACTTACTTAGTAAATACAATTTAACTGAAACAAGTGAAATTTTTAGCACGAGAATATATTAGACATCCAATTTAGACACCTGGAGAACAGAGGCGATGAGTGCTTCTTTCTCGCTCTTCCAGCCGGGAACCTCAAAGGCAAGCGCAAAGTGTGTAGCCTGAGATGATAGAAAAAGCTCAATTAGAATTGTGAATTAAAAACAACTTTAGCTCAAATAAATTTTTCCAATGACAGCATATCTGTCATGCATACCTCTCCACCAGTATGTTGGCGAAAATCTCCACCAGTATACTGAGACTTAGGCTCTGCTTGGCGTGGTATGTTAGGCAGGTCAGAAGTTAATGGCTCAACAACTTTCAAAAGATCTTCATGCTCAACTCCACTTGCCGCCAGTACCATACGTGCAGCCGTGAAATTCTCCTGAAAATCCCAGATCAAGTGAGTAGACAAAAACAAAAATGATGACGCCATCTTAACTAAACCATTGTAATCACAGAAATGAAGATGGTTCTCAAAAGCTGATGCGGTCTTACAGTCATAAACTCTTCCAAGAGTTCCCCATTCAATCTGTGCAAAGCAGACTCAGGTGCGTACAGAGGATTTGCCAATGCACCTGAATAACCAGCAGAGTGAACAGCCTCCATGAGGAACCCCATAGGGTTCTTCGCAAGTTCTGCTACCTCCACCTTCATTTTACGTAGCTGCAGAATCAACGCACACAACGATAAGCCACATAAATATTTTTCACAAGAGTAATCAAAATAACAAGAAAGGGAAACAAAAAGTGATTTACCTCTTCATTGACTTCCCAATCCAAGAAAGCAGGGTTCCTCACACTGTCAATAAGAACCTCAACCATTTCAGGTACATAGGTTTTAAGAGCATCAATAGTGTAACTCATCTGCTCCCTGGAAGCAGATGCGGAGGTGTTCCCTCCAATAGCTTCTATTTCCCTCACAAGACGTAGATGGCTCCTATTTGTCGTGCTCTTGAAAGCCATCCTTTCAAGCAAATGGGTTGCTCCATGGAAATAAGGAGCCTCATAGATAGAGCCACAATCAACATACAACCCAATCGAAGCTGCCGGATTCTAACCACAATAAAAGAAAAACACAAACATTAGTGTAGAGTTTTGAGCCAGATACTTCTAGGTTTATACTTGTTCGTTCTAGTGTTTATAATCAATTGTGAGTATATGGACCCAACTCACTTCTCAGCCCAATAGTAAAATCCTGCACCAAGGAGGAAAACGTGAGATGATTTCCTTTTCTCTACATATGTCGGTTAGTTAAAATTGTTAATACAATTATAAAAAGGAAAGCTAAGGTTGGAGGCTGAAGCTATAAATAAAGGTGGTGGTCAAGCATTCTAATTATCCGAAAGNAAAGAGAAGGCAAGAGCATAAGAGAGAGAGATAACAAGAGATTAAGCAATTACAAGTGTTTAGGTTTTGTGTTAATCATTGGCTTGTAATCTCTAATATTGTTCTTGAGAAACAGATTTCTTGAAGTGAATAAAGACAAGGTTTTGGTATTGATTTCTATCTAAGTTTAAGCACTAGGTTAAGGGTTAAATTCCTAACAAGTGGTATCAGAGCAATCCAGGTTAGATTGCTAGTGCTAGGAGGAGATATGGAATCGTTACCAGGAAAGTTCAAGTTCGAGATTGAGAGGTTTGATGGAAAAGGTGATTTCGGGTTATGGAAGTATAAGATGCTAATGCAGTTAGAGCTTCTAGGGTTAGATTCTACTATTCAGGAAGATTCAGAGACGTCTTCTGAAACAAGCAAGGAGAAAGACGAAGAACTACCTGAGGTTAAAGTAGATCCGTTGAAGGACAAGAAGGCAAAGAATCTAATATGCATGAGCCTAGGAAATTTGGTTCTGCGTAAGGTTATGAAGGAGACAACTGCGTTAGGAGTTTGGAAGGCTTTAGAAAGAGATTACCAAACAAAGACACTTCCTAATAGAATCTACATGAAGCAGAGGTTTGCGAGCTTCAAGATGGACGATCACAAGAGCATAGAGGAAAACCTAGATACTTTTCTCAAGCTAGTTTCAGATCTTGCAAGTCTAAACATCAACATCAGCGATGAAGACCAGGCAATTCAAGTTCTATCCAGCTTGCCCCAGCAATATGATTCACTAGTTGACACGCTCAAGTACGGGACGGCAAAAGAAACTCTTACCATGAACGATGTGATTAATTCAGCATACTCCAAGGAAGTGGAGTTAAAGGAGAAGGGATTGCTGAATAAATCCAGGTCTGATGCAGAGGGTTTGTATGTGGAATCATGGGGGAGATCAGAGAACAAGGGTTATAGAGGCAAACCTAACGGCAGGGGCAGATCTAAGTCAAGGCAAAAGTTCGATAAAAACAACACAAATTGTTTTATTTGTGGAGAAGAAGGACATTGGAAAAGAGAATGTCCAGAAAGGAGACAAAGAGATTCTGCAAATATTGCGATGGAACCTAAGCAACCGTTAGTGTTAACAGCTAGTGTGCAAGATACAAAGAAAGAATGGGTCATGGATTCCGGATGTTCATATCACAGTACATCACAGAAGGAGCTCTTGTTTGACTTCAAAGATTTTGATGGTGGTAAAGTATTAATGGCTAACAACACTCAAAGTGACATCAAAGGGATTGGGAAAATCAGAATTCATAACCTAGACGGTTCAGAAGTGATACTCACGGATGTAAGATACATACCAGAGGTGAGTAGAAATCTGATTTCCTTTGGGATGTTAGAAAAATCAGGTTGCAAGTATAAAGGAAGCAATTTTATGGTGCACTTCTACAAAAATAACAAGAAAGTAATTTCTGGAAAATACAAAGATGGATTGTATTGTCTTCAAGGTAGAGTTGCTAAGGGTTACGAAGTTGCTTCTAAAGATGAGAAAGAAGTTAGAAGGAAAAAGTCAAAGAAGGTTAGTTTCAACGAGAATCTGGTTCAAGGGCCTACTCCTTATGGTTTTGAGACAAGGGATTCATTAGCTCAAGGTGGAGACTCCTCTTCAAAAGGAAAAACAGAAGAAACTGAGTCAAAGGTGAGAAATGAAAAGTCTGTGACAAAACCTTGGCATAACGATCACTTGGAAAGCAAGAAACGCAAGTGTTCAAAGAATGTTGCACAAGAGGAAAATTTGAACGGAGAACCAGAAACTGAAACTGTAGGAAAAGTTTCCAAGGTATTGGAAGAGGGAATCTTCGGAGATAGAGTTAAAGGAGATGTAACACTATCTAAGATTCATGCCAATAAAATTCAAGCGGACTTTCTAACTAAAGCAGTACCTGAACATGAGCTTCAGGCTTGCTGCAATGCCATCGCCTAAAGAAGAAAGACGCTCCAGGTAACTACATTATCAAACGCTGTCTCAAAACTCGCATAGACAGAGGAAAAGAAACAAGTAAGTTTCAGGTTTATATTGATAATGAATAACTCAAGAAGATATAGTTTAGAGAGTTACCTGTGAGCATAGATGCGAGGCAAGGGTTTCAGCTCAAGGTGGAGTAGCTGTAAACACAAGAAAAAGAATTCACTCAAGAGCTCTGAAGCAACGGATGAGGAATAACTTTAGAATGAAATTTAAAGTTGAAGGATGACCTGAGAAAACGTCTTAAACAGCTAAGAGAAGCTGAAGGGAGACGAGTATCTAGGTCGGGAAAGGAACAAATAGATCACCGGAGAAATGAGAACGTCTTAAACAGCTGCAATGGTGGAGGATAATCACCAAGGAGAGCTGAATGGAGACGAGTATCACAGCCAGGAAAACAAAGCAGATCACCAAGATAAAGGGAAGGGAAGTGGAAACAGGTTCGTCGGAGTAATAGAGAAGTCTTCAAAAGGTCACTGGAAACACAGGAAGAAAAGCGGCAATAAAGGATTAATGTTTACATCTTCTCAAGGAAATAAGTGAAAATATTCAAAGCTAGCTCAAAGTTCATTGGATCTTACCGGAAAGCTGCAGTACGGCCGGTACGATAGATTGAATTTATCATCACCAACATGGAAAAAGAGATCCGCTAGTCACCAAGAAGAAATCGCGAGCTTCTTTGGAGATGACGGGTCTAGCAAAAGATAGGTGTTACCATTAGAATGATCTAATTCAGTAAAGGAGCAAGCCTGAGATTTGAGAAGTTGACTTGCTCTCCGTTAGAGGAATCAAATAAGCTATTCGATCTCATCATTGGTTTTTTGATCGGCTGGGAGCTCATCTGTGTGGAGCATACGGAGTTGCATGAGAGAGGCCATGGAGGGGATTAGAAGCCAAGAATAGGTTTGTGGCTGGTTGGAGAAACAACAAGTCACCAAGTGATGGCTTTGGTCAAAGGTCATCTTCATCGTCATTGAAGATGCAAAGGTCGTCTTCATGGAATCCGATTAACGAATCGAAGTGAGAGAGGATGACAAACAATAGCGACGTAGAGCTACACAGTCTCGCTGGAGATGTGACGAAAGGATTCACCGTGGTGACATCATCACTGTCTCACGAGATTCCTCAGAGAGAGAGTTGAGTCGATCTCGAGCAAAAGGAATCGAAGCCGTAAAAGAGCGATGAGGAAGTAGCAGCGTACGAGCTACAACAGAGCTACGGTGGAGGGGATTTACCGATGGACTTCATCAACGCTTCGAGATGCTAGAAAGGAACACCGGAGAAGAAATTTGGCGAAGTTTGTCACCGGTTGAGACGTCTTGCGTTAAACGAAGAAAACGGCGAGTGGTGTTCAAGTGTTACGGGGAAGCAAAATGCTTAAGGTGGAGTTGGGCTTTAATGTGGAGTTGGGCCATAAGGTGGAGATTGTGAGTATATGGACCCAACTCACTTCTCAGCCCAATAGTAAAATCCTGCACCAAGGAGGAAAACGTGAGATGATTTCCTTTTCTCTACATATGTCGGTTAGTTAAAATTGTTAATACAATTATAAAAAGGAAAGCTAAGGTTGGAGGCTGAAGCTATAAATAAAGGTGGTGGTCAAGCATTCTAATTATCCGAAAGNAAAGAGAAGGCAAGAGCATAAGAGAGAGAGATAACAAGAGATTAAGCAATTACAAGTGTTTAGGTTTTGTGTTAATCATTGGCTTGTAATCTCTAATATTGTTCTTGAGAAACAGATTTCTTGAAGTGAATAAAGACAAGGTTTTGGTATTGATTTCTATCTAAGTTTAAGCACTAGGTTAAGGGTTAAATTCCTAACATCAATCTCAATTCCGTTTCAGGTTAAGATTGACTCAAGCAAGAAAACTAGAGAGTGCAAACGATATTTGTTCACCCGGTGTTCGATGATCTACTCACCGGGGAGGGAATCGGTGTCCCTCAACTGCTTCACTAAGATATGAGCTCGAAAACAGAGTACAACAATGGCGATTACAATCGCACACGGTTACAACAAAGAAAAGAACAAGCTCACTTGCCGTATCCTCTATGACGCCGGAAAATCACCGCCGAAATGGTACGATCTGACCGTATACCGCTTTCGTGACTCCGTCGACGTCAACCTCACGAATTGAGCTGAGTAATCTCTATCTCTCTTCTTTCTCTGTATTCTCTTGATCTCATTTCTCTCTCTTCTGTGTACCGATAGAGAAGACGAGATGCAACTAGTTTGTTATAACAAACTCCTCCACTTGCGTTGAAACGCAGCCGTATTACTTTTCCTGAATATGGGCTGAGACTCAGAATTTCTGGTTGCAGGCTTCGAAGACTAATGGGCCAGAATCCGTAAAGCCCACTTGGAGTTTGGCTGAACAAAGATCCACAAACTCCACCTTTCAGACATAACACCAAGTGTTGTCTCTCTCTCTACGAAACCCTCGCCGACTCAATTCTCTGTTTCTGTCTGAGGCGATTCATCGTCTCCAAACACACCAAGTCAATCTAGACTCTCCTGAAGCTCTTCTCCGATTCACTCTACCTCTGAGAGTAACACAAACCAACAGGTACTCTCTCAAACTCTTCATTTCTCGTATCAGAAACTACCAGTTATGCGTAACTCGCATAAGACCTCTTTCTGATACTTTATCTTGTCTTCTTTCTGCAGATCCTGAGAGTCTCACCAAACATAGACCCGACAAACAGACGATGACTC